CCCCGCAGAGCAGTGTCCAGTAGCTCCTCCCTCCACCAGAGGGGCCCCCACACAGGGGTATGTGAACTTCAGAGCCTTGTAAGATTGACCCAACTCCCTCCCCCATCAGTTATAGTGACCCCCGCCCCCGGGGAGGGGCATACGATCAGTAAACATGCAGAGGAAGCTCCGCCCCACCAATGCTGCTACCCCCGGGCAAGCGGTACCTCGGTTCTCCGGTAGAGGGTGGCCTCCCCGTAGGCCCCATGTCCCAGGACCCGGATGGGGATGTAGTGAATCTCCTCCTGCTCGGGGCCGCCGCAGCTCCGCGCTGACTCTCCATAGTCCGAATTGATGGAGTCGCAGTGCCGGTCATACCGGCAGAGGGCGGACATGTCGAGATCAGCCGCCTCTGCCCGCCGCCATATTGGACTCCGGCTGACCCGGAAATGCTGATCGCCCCGCTCACACGCACGTGACTCGGAGCTGCCGCCATCTTTCTTGAGGGCAGATTACCGTGCGACTTCCTGTTTACCTCTGACGTAAGACCGAGAGCTGCAATGCTGCGTGAAAGACGGGGCCCGAAACGCCCATAGGGCGGAGCTGACAACCAGCGTATGTCTTCTAGGTGAAGTGTCACCATCCAATGAAAATGTTTTCCCGGGGAATCTCCTCCATGTTGTCATGGTGACGGATCTTTATTTTACTAGTTCAGTGACCAATTACTAATCAGTGTGGGACTGAGCAGTGACGTAGAAGCAAGTGGGAGGAGCAATAGAGTGTTGAGGCTGACTGGGGGGTTCCAGGGAGACATCGAGGGACCATTCAACATGATGTCCCAGCTCCTCATATGGACCGCTAACGGTTGGTATCCAGGCTGCATGTCACACATCAATGGCCGGTCCCCCCCATGGACCTCTAGAGGTTGGTGTCCGGGCCGTATGTCTCACATCAATGGCCGCTCCCCCCCATGGACCTCTAGAGGTTGGTGTCCGGGCCGTATGTCTCACATCAATGGCCGCTCCCCCCCATGGACCTCTAGAGGTTGGTGCCCGGGCCGCATGTCTCATATCAATGGACGGTCCCCCCCATGGACCTCTAGAGGTTGGTGTCCGGGCCGTATGTCTCACATCAATGGCCGGTCCCCCCCATGGACCTCTAGAGGTTGGTGTCCGGGCCGCATGTCTCACATCAATGGCCGGTCCCCCCCATGGACCTCTAGAGGTTGGTGTCCGGGCCGTATGTCTCATATCAATGGCCGGTCCCCCCCATGGACCTCTAGAGGTTGGTGTCCGGGCCGTATGTCACACATCAATGGCCGCTCCCCCCCATGGACCTCTAGAGGTTGGTGCCCGGGCCGCATGTCTCATATCAATGGACGGTCCCCCCATGGACCTCTAGAGGTTGGTGTCCTGGACGTATGTCTCACATCAATGGCCAGTCCCCCCCATGGACCTCTAGAGGTTGGTGTCCGGGCCGTATGTCTCACAACAATGGCCGGTCCCCCCCATGGACCTGTTAGAGAGCCAGGAAACCAGACAGAAACTAAAGTTCAGGTTTAAAATATAAAAGAAGTTTATTGAAAACAACAATAAAATGAAACGGCAAAAAACAATGGAGGAAGTCCGGGACGTTGTCAGTGCCAAGCCAGAGGTCAGAAGCCAGAGGTCAGAAGCCAGAGGTCAGGGAACACTGAGATGAACGGACACGATAGCCGGAGTCAGGAACCAGGAGTTCAGTCAGCCAGAGCCTGGGTCATACACGGAGAACAGGAACAACTGCAGAGCACTTGGTAGATCAGAACAAACGCAAGGGCGGAGACTGAATGGACACGGTGAAGGGTATGTAGTGACCTGGTGATTACATCATCACTCTGAGACAGGAACTTGTCAGGAGTATTGCCAGAAGTTGCAGGAAGATGATGTCAACAGGTTTGGTCATAAGAGGGCGCCAAAGAGAACCAGCAGTGTCAAACATACTGACGAGCCATGCGCAGCCCACTGGATGAGGAAGGGTAACCCTGAAAGTACTCTCCTCTCAACAACCCCCTCCCCCGCAGGAGAGCAAAAGGCTTATGGGGAAAGCGAGCATGGAAGGCACGGGGGAGGTGCGGGGACAGAGGAAGGAATCCAAGAACGCCTCTCCGGACAGTAGCCTTTCCAGTGGACCAGGTACTGGACTTGACCCGACGGGAGTGAAGGATCTTTGGCGGGGAGGAGCGGTGGTGTAACGTTTACATTCTAGTGGCTTCAAGAGCGCCACATGGAAGACGTTGGAGATACGCATTCTAGAAGGGAGGTGAAGTGCGTAAGCAATCGGGTTCACCCTCCGGAGAAAGGCCCTATAAAGTGGAATGCCAATTTCGGAGTAGGCCGACAACCACACCCTCTCCCCGATCTGGGAGGAAGGAGCGGGTAGACGCCTACGATCTGCCTGAGTGCTGCATAGAGGCATGAAGGGAATTCTGAATCTGCACCCAGGAGGAACGGAGCGCCTGAAGATGATCCTCCGGGGGGGGGGGGGGGGAGGAGGGT